CTGCTGCACTAGGAGCATGGGGAGCAGGCAAACAGGTGAGGGAAGCATTTACTTCCAGCATGGAGAAGCTGACAGGCAATCTGTGAGCTGCTGGGGCTGCTGCAAGGTATAGGAAAGTCAACCTATGGATTATTTCTCTTTTGGTTTCTTCAAGACTGGAAAATAGGTGTTAGAAAATTAAGAGCCAGCTGCTCTGCCCTCTCTCCTATGGCAAGGGAAGGACAAGACCTTGGGCTCTGAGGGCACACCACAGTCCTCTCCCATACCAGGGAGATTCTGGCTGGGTTTGTGGCACACATAGATCTAAACCCAAGGATAAACACCAAAAAAAAGTGAAGGCATTGGAGCTCTACAGAGTGCTGCTCCCTTCCAGGACATCACAAGTCCCTCCAGAGGAACATTGTCCCTCCTGGTCCAGAGCTGCACTTGCAAGGGGAGACTTCCCCTGTTCCCTGGAGCTCTCTCTGCACCCTCTGCCCAACAGGTAACATCCAGAAGTTTAGGCTCTCCCACAGAAATGTCTATGCCTCAAAATCCCTTTTACTCCCAGCAGCTCCAGACCACAAGACTCACATTCCCATTTCAGGGTAAACCATTCTTCTTTTCAGTCTGGCCTTTACCCTGAGTCCTCCTTATCCTCCAGGCTGAGTTTGTTTCACTTGTGATAAGTTTGTTTTCCTCTAGCCCCTTTGATTGTTTTTTTCCAAGATGAAATATTCCGATGGTGCCTTTGCTTCAGAAGTGTTTTCCTTTGAGGAGGGGAGGGAAGACCCAGACAGACACTGCCAGATTTGGACTGAGTGTAGCATTCCCCCATCCTGACCTAGATGGCAAGAGCACAACTTCTGCCTAATAAGGCAGAATCTAAAATCCCAAGATTGAGAGGAAAAGGTGTCTCTGCCTCATGCCAACTGCAGCCCAGCCAGGCTCTGGGGTGCTCTCCTGGCCACGAGGTGCTGTGAGATTTCCTTCCTCTGTCCTCATCCCAAGGCACTTGGCTGCACAGAGAGGAAAATCCCCCTTGGTGTGATGTCCCTGGCAGTGTGTGGGGACAAGGAGGGTCAGCTGAGAGACCAGGGCAGCTCCTGCTGCCACCAGCACACATCCAGCTAAGGCAGCACCACAGTCTGTGCCAGGACCTGTGCTCAAGCCCTTCAGAGTGGGGCAAACTGCCACACAGTTCTAGGAAATGAATGAAATAAGGCATGAAAAAAAAGGACTTAACAAAAGTGGAGGATGTGAGCAATGTGAATGACAGCTGGCAGGAGAGCTAGAGCTCTCCCCCTGCAAATTGGCTTCACTCCCACAGCTCACAGCGTTTCTGCAGCTCAGGCAGAGCTAAAGGGTGTCCCAACTGCTGCTTGGTCAGCACTCTGCACTTCTGCTGAATCCAGCACAGCTCCATCATCAGCCACATCCACCATCTCTGCAGTAGGAAGGAGTTATATATCCCTGACGTGGAGTAACAAGGGTTGGCTTTAGTCTGCAGCACAAACTCTCTTGGGATGGTCACACCATCAGCCCTTGAACACTCCTTCAGTACTACTCCTCTGTTAAGCAGAAAGGGCATTAATGCCCAGGCATTAAAAGACAAATCACAGCTTTCACTTGACTGACTTTCTTCTCCATCTCAACTCTTGAGGGCAAGAGCTGCCTACACTCCAGGCTGCAGTGCTAGGGCCTGTCTGAGCAGAGCCTTCTTCCCCTCCAGCAGTACCTGAGATGTGCTGGGTGATATGGAAGTATCAACATCTCAGATTTGGCTCTAATGACCCAAAGGAGTTTCACAATAGAACCAGCCCCATGGCCTCAAAGAGTACAGTTCTCCAGACCCACCTGCAAGTGAAAGCACCACCTCACATTCCAACTCAACCACATCTGGGTGCAAACAGCAGAGCTGACTGTCTGGGGAATAATTAAAAGGGATGATTGTGCATGTGTCCAGGCAGCCGTGGATGCTCTCCTCTCCCCACTGCTGCTCTGCTGAGGGAGAAGAGCACATGGCTGGGGCACATGTCTACACCACACACAGGACTGCAGAGCCAGTGGTGCTACTCAACCACTCTTCAGTGCAGTGTCCCACCCAGGGTTTCAGTTTCTAGACCCCAGATGACTGTGTTCTGTCACTGCTCCAGCCAGAGGCCTCGGGGGAGGCTCTGCTCTTTGTTTCTGCATCTCAGACAGCTGTGCTGAGGAAGAATTTCACAATGGGACCAACCTCACACCCCCAGAAAAAATAGCTCTTCAGATTCCTGTTAATGAACTCATCAGTGTGGCCTTAATAAGCAATCAAGCTCCACTAGAGAGGAATGTTGCTTGGAAGCACACAAGAACCTGCAGGCAGGGGCTGCTTCCTGTAGGTTTGTCCTGCATTGACTCCTGGTGACCAGCCCTGACCTACTTGTCCAGGGCTCCTTCTCCCTGCAGGAGAGCAGTTCTGACACTTGCTCCTTTCCAAAGTGCTCCAGTTTAGCCAATTGTTGGGGCCACCAGCAGATATTAACCCATGCAAAGCTCTGCCTCAGCCTGCACAGCCTGACAAAGCTCTGCAAGGGGAGTGTGACCATTCTCTGCCCAGTGGCATTTCAGCCAAGCAACAGTAAAGAAGGAAAAGCCTTTGAGTATTCAATTAATTAGTGATGCAGCTGCTGGCTAAGGGTCCTGCAAGCAGTGCTTCTTAGGCCTCACCAAATATCCACAGGCAAACCCTCAACTAAAATCCATGGCTGTGTTCTTGAGCCCTGGTGTTTCTGCTTCATGTCTCTCTGGAGGGGCTGATGTCCTTGCCAAGGCCCCAGAAGTGATTAAGGCTCCACGTGCAAACCAAGCAATGCAAGCTCTGAACACATGGACATGTGTTTGTGTCATTCCCCAGGCCTGGCTTCACAGCTCTCCCCTCACTCTAGGTGATCCCAAAGCATCTCAGCACCTCCAGTGGAGGAGAGAAGTCCCTTTGGGGTGAGGATATTTGGAATTGTTCCTCTTGGCTGCTACAACAGTGAGCAAAGGGATTTGTGGAATCAGCACCAGCAGTGGAGGGACTGTGATAGCTGAGGGGGTTAGGAGTGCTAAGAAGAAGGAATTGGGTGGTTCTTCACCAAAATCTCATGGGCACAGGGTCACACTGGCTTAGCTAGGGCACAGCACAGTGAGCCATGGGCTGGGTGAGCCATGGGCTGGATGCAGCTGGTCAGTGGCTCACAGAATGGACACTGCCACCAGCAGAAATCCCTCAGTGCTGTGGGACCATAGAGCAAGGAACTGTGCAGAGCACAGAGAAGTCAGAATGAAGTGTCAATGACTCCTCTTTTCACCTAATGAGCCTCAGCTCCTTCTCCCATCCTGTGCTGTAAGAGCAGTTCGATCCCTAGGGCTAAGGTGAGCTCTTCTCCCTAAAATGCCATTTTATGAAGATGTTCCTGTGATTCACAGACTTGGCTCCAGTGAACTCGAATGAAACCCATGGATTTGGCCTGCACTGCATCCTCTCAGGCAGCAAAGATCCTACTGCCAAGCAGAGGTCAAGAGGTTTGGTGCACAACAGGGAAAGAAACGCAGTGATGGCAGATAACACTCTGCTGTGCACAATTGGTCTAGAGGAAGAACTTCCTTTGCTGGATAGGATGAGAGTAATAAAGCAAAATTAGCAATCTCTGGAAAACTTCCTCCTGCCTGTGATACCCACAAACACATAAATTGTCCTGGACTGGCTGGGAGCCACCAACAAAAGGACATGTCCCATGCTGTTCTAATTCTAGTCTACTCCAGTATCACCTCAGGAGTGTAAAACACTGATACTCTCTCCATGTTTATCCCAGTGCCTTTCACATGACAACTGGAAACCATCAGAAGGCAAGACTGAAGAGGAGGGAGTGTGTACCTGGTACAGTGTCCTTCCACTGGGCGACGTGACTCGGGTGACGGAACGTTGATCCACCAAATCCAAAGCTGGGACAGCAGATGGGCCAAATATGAACTTCAGCCTGCAAGAGAACATGTCTCTAGTTAGGTCATGCCACAAAAGGAGACCACCTGGCTTAGCCTTAGTCCATAGATGGAGCCCAGAAGACCTGAAGCTATAGGTTCCTTCTGCAAGAGCAAGACATGCTGGCAAAGAAAAGAGCAGGAAGGAAATCCTGAGGGATGCTCAGTGCTGAGGATCCAACTGAGGTTACAAACAACAAGAGTGTCACACACAGAAGCCAATTATCCTTGTTCCAGTAAACTGTGAAACTGTCACATGAGCACAACGAGCATCAGCAGGATTTTAGCGGGGCAGCACACAGAGCCAGACTTGGTAATGCTAAGGGGAAAAGGGGCTCGTGCTCTGGGACACCTTAGTTGTACATCCAGCACAGCCTGATCAGGTTATTGATCAATTGGTCTTGAATCCCACCTCCAGTCAAGGCCCATACATCACTCCTCAGAGCAAGGAGAGAGCAAGGATCTTCCTGGAGCAATAGGAAGTGCAGCAGTGAGGCTCCTTCCTCATCCCAGGGAAACTGGTTTAAACTCTGGAGAGTGAATGAGTCATTTTGTAGTGATCACATCTCCTCTATCACAGTCACAGCTAAGAGATAAACTATTCTTTCTCTACCCACCAAACTGCATCAAGAGGAAGCTGAAGACCATCAGGGAATTACTTAAGACACTCCACGTGCAGTGGAGCCACCAGAGAGCAGACGTTTTACATCTGTAATCCAGCTAAGTTATTCCACACAAACACCCAGGGGCAGCATGTGCCTTAGGTCACTCCACTCTCCCTGGAAACCCTTTCCCTTACTTTCCAAGAAGGACACATCACCATGCAGGGATGCACCACTGCACAGCATTCATGGACCAGAGAGTGCCTGGGATGGAGTACAGACAAGGTACACATTTGACTCCTGCCTTGACACAACTCTGCTCAGCCTCAGTGCTGTGAGGCAGCACCACGGAGGCACACACTGCTGTCTGGTCACTGCTGTGCTCTATGCTGTAAAATTCCACATCAACACCTGGAAAAATAAAGAGCTGTGAGTCCTTAAGGCACTGCAATTCCCATCTACAGACTCAGTGCACATCCCTGCAAGCAGGATTTTATCTCCTGCTGATGCCATGCGAAGGTATATGATAAATTGGGTGTTAAATATGGACATCTGCACCTTTAGCCTATTGTCCAGACAGCTCAGAGGCTCAGAAGTAATTCTAGACCTGTGTAAGCTGCTGTGAGTGTGTTCCAAAGAGCTCAGGGGCAACTCAGTTAAACTTCACAGACCTTTCATCCACAGAGAAAAAAAATCTGTGTAGTCTAGATTAGTTACAAGGGTAAACAAGAAGAAAATCAGCAATGATGAAAAGATAGCACAGATCATGAGCAGGAGAACAGGAGAAAGGGGAATGTTTCCAGCTGCAGTGAGGACACACCAAGGCAGGGCCCAGCTCGGCTGACCTACACGTCTGACTCAAAGCTCATTGAGAACGAGCCAAGCAGACAGACAAATTCCAGGAAGACCAAAACTCCAGTTGCACAAACTCAAAGCAATAAGGATTGGCTTCATCTGAGGGCTGTGAGGAGGTGGGTGGGGAACACTTAACGTAAGACATTCCTTAATGCTTAGGTTTGGGACTATAAGAGGCTGAGTTTTAATGAGTTTCAGGAACCTCTTTCGAAGTTAGGGAATTCTTTTCTCATGGATATAATTCGATTGGTTTCACAGGAAATGCCCAAAGGAAATTCAAAGGCTTGAGAGATTTGGAAGAGATTCAGAAGTTAAATCACAATACTTTTGAGCTGCTGCTTACAGGGAATGGATGGAAATCAGACCGCCAAGAGTCACCACCCAACACTTACTGAACTGAACAAGGGAATTTCTTTCCTCCCTTTTCTTTTATGGCAAGAAGGAAGCAAAAGATTAAGACACTTGTCAAATCTAACTCCACCTCTCCAAGGCCATTGTGGTCCCAGGAGAGGGAGCCAACACACCTTTCACACCTTATGTCAGGTAACTTCAACACAAAGGCAGTAAGGCCTGAAGGATTCCTGGGGACCTCCTCTCCTGCCAGGCAGGAACACAAAGTTAAAGATGAGTCTGGAAAGTCTTTCTCACCATGACAGTGCTTTTTCTCCACCTTCAACACCAATTAGTGAGAGCTGCAGAAGCTGAACTTGAACCTCTTAGGAGACTTTTTGGGAATCACTGAAACATCCACAAGCTTCAATCAACACCAGGGTGATGAAGCTGATCTGGGACTTCTAATAGAAGAAAACTTTCAGGGTAATGTTCAAGTTAACAAGTCCCTCGTGCAGGGAGGTGATCCATTCACTTCTCCCCTTCTATCACACTTGCCCATGACTCAAGCAGGAGTGATCTCAGGGAAAACATGGGAAAAAAACAGTGGAACTAAGATGAGAGCTGATCAACTGCCTTTAGCAGGACTCTTGGGACAAGGACTGAAGTAAAAGACACTCACCCCAGCAGCAGCTCATCAGGGACTGCAAGGAAAAGAAAACAAAGTGTGATTTTGCTGTGAGAGACATCAACATCACAAGGTGACCACTTGTCTCCCTAAGCTACCCCCAGAGGCCACACAGGACTGTAGAGCTTTAGTCATCCTCTCCAGCCACCAAAAAATCAACAAGGAGCAGCAAAATGATCTGCTATGGCAGTGCTAAGGCACTTAGCAAGTACAGCAATCACAACCACAGGGATTAATTGTAAAAACAAATGCAGAAGCCCAAATGTAGTGACTTTTGTAACACCCTGATTTTAAGAGCATGCAGGAAAAGCCACGAGGCCTCAGCATCTTGCTCTGTCACTTTAAGAAGTTAGTTAAAAATATATATATTGTTTTCCCTGAAACTCTCTTGGCATGAGTTGAGGATTTTGGCATCAAAGCTTCAACAATGTTGTTCTTTTCCCAGCACAGTCTTGCAGGGAGCCACTGCTTTATGGCTTTAATGCAGCTCACAGAAACTTCATGTCTTATTGGAACTTCTGGTTAAGATGGAAAGTTACACTTAGGAAAAGCAGATTGTTTGTTGTAGCTAACAGCTTTAGGCTCTGATTGTTCACTCTGATCTTTGTTATCACTCACGGGACACAGTGTACTATGTCTCCATATCCCACTGGAAGATCTGGAGTTACGACTTTAAAATCATTTGTTCCAACAATTCCTGTTATTCTCTATGACTTGCACTGTTGGTTTGACTTTTCCAGCTTTATTTTAATTTAATTCTCCAAAGTGATTGATCCGTTTTGCTTCCACAGCTTTCAGTTAGTACCACTGTGGTACTATGAGAAGTACATCTTTAAAGCAATGTTAACCCTTTTTTTCTCCCTCTTAGTTTACAACAGGATTTTAAAAGCTCTTTTAAAAGTCACATGTAGATTTTGGATCTACTCTAACCTGACAGAAGCCACACAGCAAATATGCCAAAAAGCTGTCACTTGGGTGACTCTGACAGTTCAGACATGAAGTCTATGCCCATTCCTCACTCCCACGTAGTGCTCAGACAGACTTATCTGAATGCTTATTTGTGCACTTAAGAATATTCCTTAAATAGCCACTTTCCTTGGGAAGAACCATTCTGTGCTTCTTGGCCAGTAAACACAAACATTAATATTCTCTTAGCACAGATCACAGAACCACATTAGCAACTCAAAGTGCAGTGAAGGTAATTGCTCTTAACTAGCTGCTGGAATTGGCCAAGATTTGTCTGTTGGCTTATGCTGGTTTCATTCAAGCAATGGGAAGTTGTTCCTAGCCATGGGATTACCCACACACTCCCCTCTGCTGGTCAGTCAGGCAATGGGATCTCTTTTATGAAGATTTTCACTCAAGTTTTAAAATTAATGAGCCTATAAAAGCAGCAGTAGAGAAGGCACAGCAAAATGCCTGCCTAGAGGCACATAAATTACCATCCCTCAAGTGCAACCACTTACACCCAGCAGCTCTAAGAAGCAGCATGACCCTAAGTCCCACACTCAAAAAGAAGTGTCCAAACTGCTCTAATTTTTTAATTTGAGACGAGGCTGGTGCTTCAAACCCCTTTGTGCTGCCTCTAGACAGAAGATGCACAAGGAGAGCACCACAACCCTCATCACTACCTGAGAGTCTGATAGTGCTGGCCCTTCTCCTTTACATACCATGTGAGGTCTCCTGAAAAGCCTTTTTGATCTCTTTCAGAAGCTCTTCTGCTACTGCTGGTAAGGTACTGTCCATCTCACCGGCGCTGGGCTCAGCACTGGAAGCGAGACACAACAGGAGACAGTGGGAAATCATTATGGTCACTGTGGATACCATAAACCAGGAAAGTTATCCGGTTTTTTTTCCCCCACCCCTGCCACAACACATCATAGCATCCTCATGAGCTTTTAACACGCGTTTTTCACACGTTCTGGCGATCAGGACTCCTCGAAAAGGTCCCGCGGAAAGGACCAGAGTGCGCAGGGATGATGGGAGGAGGATGCTCTGACCTGGAGCATCCCGGCTCGGACCCAAGGAGGCTCCGGGTTTGGCTCCCGGGGGGTGCCCGGAGCCGCCGGGGCCGGTCCGGGGCCAGGACCAGAGTGCACGGGGATAACGCCAGGAGGATGCTCTGACCTGGAGCATCC